AATTAATTACATATCAAATGGTCGCTGGTAGGGATTGTCTGTTGCATTTCACAGAATATGCCAATCTATTTCAGCACAGCATTTGCAAGAAATGAAATTCGTTTCAGCACAGTCCTCCAAACCTGAATGCCTTGAACGTTCCTAAACCCATTGGCTTACCTTGAACCTAATTGGGTCAGCAATGTTCTCACTTTCTCTGCCTGCTGTGGGATCCGGGGCGAGACACCTACCGGAAAAGCGCTTCGTGCCGGTCCTGCCTCTGTCACATGTTCATAACAGTGCTGTACATCGACTGCCCCCCAACATTTAATACACAACAAGGCAAAATGGACAGAAAGAGAGGGGAGGGGAGACAACCACTTCTATTCGAGTTGCGGGGCAACTGTGGCTGCTCTTGGTTCATTCCACGATATCAAAGCCAACAAACAACACAAATCTTGAACTGTTCCATGAGACTGAATGCTGGAAGCCAAGCCATAGATACAATAGATTCATTGTGGGCCTTCATTGAGTTTGAACAGGTTTGCCTATTAGCCTGCTTCGTTTTGCACCCCCTTGCCCTCAACAATTTCTGAGCATTTATATATTATAAAATATTATAAACATTTATAAGGAACAAACAGTATAAACATTTATAAACTAAAAATAGGAACTTAAACAGCAGTCCACACAAAAATCACATCACCTGACTCCACTTAAAAATCCAATTTTCGTTTCGAGATCTTGGGTCAGCTGATGGAACACCTCCCAAAAAACCACAACCGGTGACTGGCCTTGGAACTGCGGATGTGACGACTTGGTCCCTCAGTTTAATTGGGCCATATGGATAGCATTAATATGGGGGGTTTCCACAAATGGGGATCCCCATAAAATGGATGGTTTATAGTGGAAAATCCCCATAAAAATCCATAAAATGGATGGTTTTTTTGGTGGAAAATCCTGTCAATGGATGAGAACTGGGGGAATATTAAATGGTAGCCCTGTTTTAGGAAGCCACCACTGGTGAATGTGTTTCATGACATGTCACTTCTGAATCGCAAAAAATCGTCCAGCCCCCTATGGGCCCAACACTGCACTCCATCCATGGGAGGTTGACCTGCGGACGCCCATGGAGTCCGATGAAAAAAAACCTGGAGCATCCCTGACAGCGTCCAAGGCAGGTTCCCCTCTCACATCATAGCCATGATATGGGTATGGGTCAAAATTAGGTACCCCGATAATTGGATGGTTAATACTAAACTAGACATTCACATCTGTGGTCCCCTAGGTCTTCCATTTTGACCCACATCCATATTGCACTAATTTATTGTGTGCAGTAACTCCGTAGGTGTTGAAAAGTGCTGGTTATTCCATCCCGATGATCTTTAGCACATGCCAACTATATTGCAACTATTGTGGTTCACGTCACATCCCCAATTGATATTCAATACATCCATTGTCCATCAATACATACGAATTCTCGGATCCACATACCGTACACAATCATTTCAAAACTTGGTACTAGCTAGGTACTATTATACTCATTTAAAAACATATTAAAAACATCCTTCGATATGATCATGAACATCCACTAAACGTATATAGCAATCCGCAACAAGTTTTTGAACATGATATAATTTACTTCGAAGCCTGGAACATCCTGGACATTTTGGGCAACACATCACCAACATTAACCAACCAGCGATCCCCAGGTCCCGCAGGTCCCGCAGGTCCAACCCAGGACCTCCAGGTCCCCAGGACGCCTTCCGCAACCCTTGGGGACATCTCAGGTCGCGCAACCAGACCATTGGGCCGCACGGCTTCACCTGCCAGGCTGCCAGGTCATCGGGGGGAAACCACATGTTCTGTTTATAAATGGAAGTATTTTATATAGATTTTAATGGGGGTTCATAATACTTCCATAAAATTATTAAGTATGTTGTGAACATAATTTAAAAATATTTTATATACATCATAATGTTGTGTTTATAATTCAAACTAATTCAACAGAACATGGGGGTTGCCATGGGTTTCCTAAAATAGAGCTACCGACAGTTCTCATCCATTTATAGATGGTTTTGCCCTTATAAACCATCCATTTTGGGTATCCCCATATGAGGAAACCCCCATATATCATATGGAGAAGCATGGATGTATTTTTTTCTCAACATATCATAAGAAACAGGATGAACCATTGTTTTTTTTTTAAGTGGGTGTTCCCAGTTGATCATGCTTCGATCCCACTGGAAGGTAATAGAAAAAAACAAAGCAGCAACCAACTGGGCCTTTGAAACATCTTCAGATAGAAACACCCTCTGGCAGTTTTTCTGGCAATGGCAAGGAAAGACCTCCATTCTTGTGGACAAAGATCGCTTGTAAATGGATGTAAATGTGGATTTTTTCCTGACCACCAAAGGGTAAAGTATGTTTCAGAAATCCGACACGGTCCGACATTGGTAAATTGACATAATTCAAACTAGTTTTGATCCCTCTTGGAGCAAACTCAGCACAATCTTCCTGTCTCGGTGTGGTTGATCATGGTTGAAAGTGCTCGTGGGCATTCAACTTCCATGTGTCATCAGGCTGCTTTTTCGCTGCACTCTATTTCTCGACTTTACGTCACACAAACCATTCATTGGATGCCCCAGCCTGGAGGATCTTTGGCTAGCCTCCCAGTCTCAAATGTCTACATCCAGAATAGTTGTGGCAAATGGTGAAAAAAAGGCAGAGACACGAGAACCACTATGTCTGACATTGGTTTCTGTTGCTCCGTCAGGTTTCGAATTGTTTTGACATGTTTTGAACATGACCCACCAGTGTATATGTAGCCAATCCTATAGGTGGATCTGTTGACGTCCAAAACAACCCACAAACCCATCAAACATATTGACAAACCATCAAGACCGAAGCCCACTGGTCTTACCTGGGTACTGGAGGTCCAAAGTCACCAACAAAAATCATCAAACATCATCAAAAACTAAAGTTCACCGCTTAAATGGTCCAAAATCCTCTCTGAGAATCACATCAAATCATCACGCATCACAAGACATGAAAATCGTCACAACATCATCCAAAGAAATCATCAAATAGTGAGAACATCAATCCAGAAATCACATCCAATCAGAAAATCATCAGAAAATCATCAGAAAATCATCACCAAACATAAACATATCCATCTCCAATGGTTTCACGTCCATTTCTTGGCCAAACAGTTTTGAAATTTTCCGGCACCTCACCGCCACGGAATGTCTGCTTCGAAGCACCTGACGGCTCTCCGGCCTCAGTTGCCATAGCTATGTATATAAGATATATTTCTTGATCTAATGGTTATTGAATATGTTAGTAATATACTAATATATAACTATGTATATATAACTATATAATCAACGAATCTGTGTATGTATGTATACATTTATATTTAAGTAGTCATGTTGGCATGTTGGATTATGATAGAATGCTAAATATACTACAGTAGGGGTAAGTGTATTACAGTAACATTATATTTTAGAATATGTTCGCATACTAAGCAGAATTGAGAATATAAACCATCATTCCGGTGGCGTCACAGTGAGGCCGTTACAATTCAGCCAAATAATATATATATATATGTACTAGTAAATGTTAGAAATACACAAATAATAATAGTTTAGTAGTATAGTATATATATATATATATAAGATAGCTACTCCAAGTACATAAGTGTGATACACTAAGACGTATAGCATGAACTACAGTAGTGTAGAAGCATGTAGAAGCATAGTAAATAGATGTATATAAATAGTATAGTATACTTGTTAATGTATATGTATGTATACACCGAATATTGGCACAATGCAGAACCAATTGCATACTGCATAAGTAGTATATATTACCAAATCGGTAGTACAATATATTCTTGGTAACTAATTCCAGACTTCTTAATGTATGCGTTAATACAACTGGGGTACGAGAGATGTATATTAGGTCATAAATTTCACCTAGTCACTGGGGTGTATGGGGTCATAAACGACACTTTTTGTCGTAACTGCGGTACATGTGGTATAAGTATAATAGATGTGTATGAGTATATGGGGTACCGTGACTGTACACAATAATATGACTGACTGGTTGATACAAGTACAACACAATAAATATGCACTATGACTTCTATCTATATGACTAGAACTGATTAGATACAATTGTATAACTGGGCTATAACATGGTGGTTCTTGATTTCAAAGGATAAGCCCAATTCGATGGTTTTTACCAATGCTGATAATATGTTTCCCCATGACCAAAAAACATAATTAATCCATATTGGATCCTAAATCCCCCAAATTCTCAGAAAATCCCCAACTTCAAATCACTATTTTCCCATATTTTCCCATATTTTCCCATATTTTCCCATATTTTCCCATAAAGACTCACCACAAAGCTGACGTCCCCGAGGATCCCAACAGTGCGGCGCCTGCACTTGACCATCGTACCGCGCCCCAGCTAGGCCTGCCCGCGAAGAGGGGATGGGATGTAGACATAGATAGAATTCGATAGAACATGATAATCGAATATATAATAGATTAATTTAATAGATTAATATAGATAGGATGATGATAAACCTAATATATAGATGATTATAGATGATAGAAATAGCTGCAAAGAGTGTTCGAAAACCACTATCCACTGTATTTAGGCACCATATATCAACAAAACATAACAAAACATCACCCAACATGAAATGATACACAGTGCCAGTGTGCTCACTTGTTCAATGAGGCAAAAGTCTCACATCTGCAGAAGTGCCTCATGGACCCGATCGAGGGACTAAACTTTTTGCCTACAAGTTGAGTCTGGCCATGAGGTGCTCCTTGCAGTTGAAGTTGTGAAGTCTGGAACTTCATCTAGCAGTGGGTTGAAGTGCCATGTCATGCCATGTCAGCTCTTGGATCTGAGTCTTTGCGCACTTGTCATGTGTTGTCATCAGTTTTTCATGTTTTGACCTGAAATTGCTGCTGCGAGGCTGGGTTTCTTTGCGATTCTACCATCAGCCAACCCACAGCTCTTCACCTTGTCCTCTTGTCCTTTTTGCTCACGCCTTAGGGTAGAAGCGCCCAAAGCATTGGCGACACCGCTCCACCAACCGCTGAGCCTCCGGGTCTTCAGAAGCCTCCAGCACTTGGAAGAGGCCACGAGGCAGTTGGGATGAGAAGCCCACCTGGCTGTGAAAGTTGGCACACGCAGCTTCCAATGTCTTGGACCATGTCCAGTCACTGCAGCTGATACTCCAGGCATGGCAATCCGACACGACCTCCTGCCGCAGCTCAGAAGAGATAGCAGATAAGTGCCAGAAGAGCCAGGACAGTGAACAAAGGGTAGCCGCTGAGGCGCCTCCTCTCACATGCCCATCTTGAGCTAGAGCATCTGCCAGGTGTACTGCATCCTTCAGGTGAGATAAGGACCTCTCCGCGGATGCTTCACTGCTCTCCCCAGGGACATCCTCAGCCGTTGCATCAGTTGCATCAGTTACATCCTCAGCTGGTGCATCCTCACTGGGTGCATCACTTTGCACCTCTGAGCCACCGCTTGGCTCCAGATTAACCGCCTGCGAGATGGAAAAGATTTAGCTCTTATCCCAATTAAGTCTTCTGGGGGCTTCCTACACAACTTGACCAGCTTTGGCGATCTTCAGGGTCCAAAAACCTAAACGAGACTAAGTTTTGAAAACCCCTTATAGCAATTGAAACAGATTTGCCAGGGGACAGAACCACTATGAACCATTGATGCATGTCTGTTGTTTCACCATAGTCTAGCTGGTGAATTTCAGCCCAGTTCAAACCTATTTATCAACCTAAATCATCCAAGAAGGTGGATGGCGACAATGGAAGAGTCGCCCAAACTTGGTCCAAAAAAAAACAGCCTGGCCTTTAATGACTCGTCAAGCAGTTGTAGCTGCACCTTCACAGGCAAGCGGACACCCATTTGAAGAGCATCCTCTCGCAAAATCATCGCGGCCCGCAAGGGCTCCTGCTCCTTTGGCAGTTTCAGCATGGCTTGAATCGCCAAAGAATACCTGGAAGAGGCCAGGAAAAAAACACCGCCCCTTAGGGACTTAAAAAAGGGAAACAAAAACGCTGCCAAAGTGATAAAAGTGATATGTTTCTTGAAACCAGATACATTTTGGAAAAGTGAGTGAACTAAATCACTTTCAAAGGCCATGCAAAGGGGGCGGTTCAAACTCGGAATGCCTTTTACATGTGCACATTGATCACCTAGCTACTACCTACAGGCTACAAGGCAGGTTTGGTTGGATCTTTTAGTTGCAACAGTCCCGAGTTTGCAAAGCCTTAAAACCTGTCTTGAATAAACCAAGAAGCTAGTAACTAGCACAATTTACACCCTGGTAAACCTGATCTTTGTCGAATAGAAACACAAGCACAACCTTCCTGAAATCGTGGGTGAGCCACAAAGGGGTTTCTAAGCGAAATCGCCAGTCCTCTCGGACCAGTTTTGCAAGCTCTCTGACTTCCATGGGTTTTTTCTCATCCAGAAACTTGGACATCACAGCATAAACAACAGCAGAATCAGGCGGATGTTCCAGCCAGCTGCCATAGAGTTTGATGAGTTCTATAGCTTCAGACTCTTCCCGGGCGAGCATTGTTGCGGCCAGTAGTCGAGTTGAGATCTCTCGATGCTTCAGTTTCACGCCAAAGTTGTAGAAGAGGTTCATGGTCTGAAGCGCGAAGCCCAAATCGCCTTTATTCCGAACTCCGCGCAGGATGGCAAACAAATCCCAAACGCCCACCTCTTTGTGGTTCACAACTCCCATGTATCCAAACTTCAGCTTCAACTCTTCATATAACACATTTGGTCTCTTCAGTTCTTCGTACATGCTCACAGCAAACCATCGAGCTTTGGGTGACTGGGTGCTGGTAACAGCCAGCCATCGTGGCAGCGACCGTGGCAACATCGCCGGGTTTTGGTCACCTTGGCAACTGCAGAATCATGCACTTGTGCTTGAAGCTGCCATTGCTTTCATACAACGCGAAGGAAAAAAACAATTACCCTTCGGCAAACTAAGATTCCTATGGAAAATCACCATGTGAATAAGAACATCAATGAACATCAACTATACTAGACGACGGATGGCCCGAGAGCGTAGAGGAGCAGGGTCTTCTCTTGTTAGTATGGAGATGCAATTTTAGAAACGGTATATGAAAGCTGTGTTATAGGCAGTCGAGAAGAGGAGTATCAAGACAAAATAGTGAGAAGTGCAAGACAATAGTTTGCATCGCAAACACTTTTACACAGAGACGCTTTTACACAGACGCTTTTACACACAAAGCTTTTACCCACAGAAGCTTTTACACACAGAAGCTTTTACAGACAGAAAGTTTTTACATACAGAAGCTTTTACATACAGAAGCTTTTACACACAGACGCTTCTACACAGACACTTTTACACACAGACACGTTTACACACAGACACTTTTACACACAGACCCTTTTACACACAGGAGCTGTTTTTACACACAAACGCTTGTACACACAGAAGCTTTTACACATAGACGCTTTTACACACAGGCACTTTTACACAGAAACACTGTTACACACAAACACTTTTACACACAGGCGCTTTTACACGCAGACGCTTTTACACACAGAAGCTTCTACACACAAACACTTTTACACACAGACGGTTTTACATACAAAGACTTTTACGCAGAAACACTTTTACACACAGACGCTTTTACACACAGACGGTACTCACAGCGAAGTCATCGTTGTCGTGGCCACCTGAGCAATCCGACGGGGTGGTGCGGCGAAGTCCTATTTCCATGTGACTCGAAACCAGCATCTATAAACATGTCATGAGGGCTATGTGCTTTGGGGCCCCCCAACCAAGGTGGTTTGCCATCTCCTGAAAAAAAAGTATAAACGGGCGGACCTGGCAGGTGGCGAACGTTTCTGGGCTGGGACACACACAGTATGACAATATGATATAAGTTGGTTCTTTTGGGGTTTAGGGTCCTGACTCCTGACTGTGACTGGAATTGAAACTCTTATCTTAACACTCATACATCCATCTCTATATATTAACACTCATACATCCATCTCTAATTCATATTGATATTCCTATCTCAATATAAAATATATCGATTTGTCTCTTTGTGGTAGCAGCCTGCCTATCCATGTAATCCATCCCATCCCGGGGCCCTGACTCCATGCAAACCTAGCTGCACAGACCAACAACTATCTGCGCAAAAGGAATCGGCAGCTTTATTCATCTTCGATGGAGTCTCAGCCCGTTCTGCTTGACGCATGCCGATGCACTGTGGTGAGACAGGATGCACTATGGTGAAACTGAATGTCTCAAGCAAAGATGCGTGCATCAGCAAGTCTCAGACAGTTCTGGTTGACTCATGCTGATGCACTTCATTTTCAAATTCAATTGACATCAGTGGCTACCGCGGTTGATCTTTATCTGGGCACCTCCACGGACACGACCTTAGGTCCAGCATCTCTGTGAACGCAGCAAGATCTTCCACATTGCATCACAAGTGGTGTTGAAGATACCCCGACTACTGCCGGTTGGGATCCTAGTCTCGACGAACGTAAAACTATGCCTTTCATTTAATCAACGACCTTTCAAGTCCTCTGCTCCATTCATCCGCGCGCCTGTAATCACGGTCACATAGCTGACACCATCAGAGGACATAGGACATTCCTTGAAAAGACATAGGTCGCATTATGCAAAGAGGTTTGAGTGGAAGGGCAGAAAATAGAAGGGTAAAATCCAACTACCATGCTATATAATATGAACAGGTGCTACCACTGCCTCGATCTGCCAAATTCGTATCCTGTCTCATGAGGGCGGTGTGCTTCGGGGCCCCCCAACCAGGGTGGTTCTGGCAGGCGGCGGACATTGCTGGCCACCTCAGCATTTCGACGGAGGGGTGAAGTTCGTACCATGCATTTGTACTTTGTATTGCTCAGACAGTTCTGGTTGCAATACAAGAATCAAAGTTAAACATCAAATAACTAAGCTGCTCACAAGGGTGTTGAGAAGACAAAGAAATCAAAACAATCAATGGGGCAAGAAATCAAAACATGTAAGCCAGGCCTGAAACATGACAGGGGTTACCGGAAAATAAGCATGCGAAACCATAAACAAGTCAAGCAAACATGCACACATCTGCGCGAAAGAAGATCTGGACACAAACCCTTTTAGACACAGACACTTCTACACAGATGCACTTCTACACGGAAACACTTTTACACACAAACATCTTTACACAGAAACACTCTTACACACAAACCCTTTTACAAAGAGACACTTTTACACAAAAGCTTTGACACACAATTGCTTTTACTCAGATGCACTTGTACACACGAACACTTTTACACACAAACATCTTTACACCGAAACACTCCAACACACTTTACACACAAAGACTTTTACACACAGAAGGTTTTACACACAACACTTTTACACAGATGCACTTGTACACACAAACACTTTTACACACAAACATCTCTACACAGAAACGCTCGTACACATAAACCTCTTTGCGTGCGAGAAAGTTACTCCAGCACACGAAACATCGCAATTTTACCTCCGTTTTTGCCGATCGACCCTCATTTCGTGCGAAAGGGTTGCTCCGGCACACGAAAAATCGCAATTTTACCTCAGGTTTTGCCGATCGACCCGCATTTCGTGCGAAAAGGTTGCTCCGGCACACGAACAATCGCAATTTTACCTCAATTTTTGCCGATCGACCCTCATTTCGTGCGAAAGGGTTGCTCCGGCACAGGTAAAATCGCAATTTTACCTCAGTTTTTGCCGATCGACCCTCATTTCGTGCGAAAGGGTTGCTCCAGGGACAAGTAAAATCGCAATTTTACCTCAGTTTTTGCCGATCGACCCTCATTTCGTGCGAAAGGGTTGCTCCGGCACAAGTAAAATCGCAATTTTACCTCAGTTTTGCCGATCGACCCTCATTTCGTGCGAAAGGTTGCTCCGGACAAGTCAATCGCAATTTTACCTCAATTTTTGCCGATCGACCCTCATTTCGTGCGAAAGGGTTGACGTTTCGTGACTCGCCGCCGGCACCACCCTCGGCCTTAAGAGAGAAAGATAAAAAGAAGGCGTGAGAGAGAAGGTGAGCAGGTGTGAAGATAAGAAGATGTGAAGATGAGCAGATGTGAAGATGAGCAGATGTGAAGATGAGCAGATGTGAAGATGAGCAGATGTGAAGATGGGAAGGTGTGAAGATGAGCAGATGAAGATGAAGATGAGCAGATGTGAAGATGAGCAGATGAAGATGGGAAGGTGTGAAGATGAGCAGATGTGAAGATGAGCAGATGTGAAGATGAGCAGATGTGAAGATGAGAAGATGTGAAGATGGGAAGGTGTGAAGATGAGCAGATGTGAAGATGGGAAGGTGTGAAGATGAGCAGATGTGAAGATGAGAGGATGTGAAGATGTGTGAAGATGTGTGAAGATGAGGGATGTGAAGATGGGAAGGTGTGAAGATGAGCAGATGTGAAGATGAGAGGATGTGAAGATGAGAGGATGTAAAAATGAAAAGATGTGAAGATGAGAGGATGTGAAGATGAGAGGATGTAAAGATGAAAAGATGTGAAGATGAGAGGATGTAAAGATGAAAAGATGTGAAGATGAGATGTGAAGATGAGATGTGAAGATGAGAAGATGTTTTACAGACCCCCACTATTGGAAGAACCCTGCGCTCAGACGCTCTCGGGAAAAAGGACCATGTTCAATAGCTATGTTAAATTCCAGAGGGTACTGGAATTAACACATCTGTATTGCTTTGAAACCGGATCGACACACGCCTGCATCTCTTTTTGCACAACTTTGGGGATTTTTTCGAAGCAGTGCCTTGTCTGGGCAGGCCGCTCTTTCCGTGCATCCGTATTTTCCATGCAGCTGGCTGCACAAAGGGACAAGAACATGTTAATGTCGTTGACTCAGCCACACAAGGTACGAGTATTTTAGATTGACTTCCCCAAAATCGGCTGCGATGTATATAAACTCTCTGGATATACTTGCAAAACCCTGCAATCTACTCACTTACTTCTACACATGCCAAGAAGAAATGCATGCGTGTGTGGGAACCAAACATCCTTGAATATTATTGTCTAGTAAGGTTGTGCTTTTCCACTCTAAATTCGTGTTTCTCGATTTTATTGAGCTTGGAGCTTTTGACCAGGAAAATTACCAGGATTTGACCCGTACCCAAATATCCCAAGCATTCCCAAACCATTGGCAGCAGGCAATCCCCTGAAAAAATAGGGGCCACTTCCAAGAGGGCAAAGTGATTTTTGTCCCAAATTTGAATCGGCACTTCATGGCACTTCAATCATCTAGAAATATCGATTGTGCGTTTTCCTATGTTTTCCTTTGCTATGTTAGTTCACCAGCGGCTACTCAGTTTGACTTCATTTGGTGATCCAGACTCTGTCATGGATGCTGGCAACGCAGCGATTCCGTGCAGCGTGGCAAGCACAGCAAACAAGTCGACACCCAGCCCTTTAGAAGTCGACAAAGCAAATGCACTTAAATATGACACATGAAACACACACACACATTTACCATCATTTACCATGATAATCCTTGATATAGAAATATAGCAGAATATATATATATATATATGACATTATATGACAGTGTGTTCCGAATTTGTCCATTCAAGGGGAGATCTCTGTCGAAAACAATACTGACTCGCAAAAGTGCGAAGCTCCTCCAATTGACGTTTTTTGCGAACATCAATAAGACATTTATATAATTATAGTAACCCTGGGGATGGTTTATGTTTTGGGTTTATCAGATATATCATGATCCTAGATCATTGTCATCACTACATCATCATATACATGTGTGTGTATGTGTGTGTGGGCTTGCGACATCAGAACATCGTGCTGACGTGCTGTATCCATCTTGGCTAGCGGCTGATGCATCTGATTGGCGAATACATCCTGAATCATATTTTCCACCATGATGATGATGATGATGATGATGATGGTGATGGTGATGGTGATGATGACAATGGTAATGATGATGGTGATGGTGATGATGATGATGATGGTGATGGTGATGGTGAAGACCCAATCAATCCCTACAGAAGCACCAGAACTCGACATAGATAGCTGCCGGTCACTTAAGATAGCCGTTTATGCCGTTTTTTGCGGATCTTTGCTGGTCTGTTCCGCAGGTCTGGGGGTTAACCAGGTGAAGTGCTCGCAGAATTCGGCTGCCAACTAACGACTACTGTGCTGGGATGATCATTGGGAACCTCTGATCGAATCACGATTTCACTTCGTCATAGCAGTCGCTTCTCGTCCCTCATCCATCTTCGATCCAAGATGCTTGAGAGGGTTGGAATTGTTTGTTTGCACCAAAAAAAGAGAAGTTTTGCCAGAGGTCTGCCAACGACACCCCAATGGACTCTATAGACTTTTGGCCAGGCTCGGAAACGTGACATGCTAGCGGCTCTGAAGCAATGTTGGGTATCTTAAGCTCACTGCTTCACATGACAAAGCTATTGAGAGTGAAATCCAGCTACTGGTAGTGATTCTATGTGATTCTTATATCCAACCATGCCCAACTATTCATGGCAGTCACACAATTCTAGCCCAAGCCTGGCTGCGCCATTTTACTGCATTTGTCTTTAACAAATCGCCGGCGTAGAAATGTTTGAGAAATGAGAAATGGGCGTGGGTCAAACTTGCTTACCTTTGAAAAGTGAATGCCCAGCTATCAAACGGGCATCTCTATGCATCTCTCATACTAGTAACTGTTGACCCACGCGAAGTGTATTCCGCAAATGCAGGGATTTGGAAATCCAAGGATTTCTTCAAGACAAGCTTGCGGGAAAATACTCGTCCGGCCGGAACGGCTGGAATCCCAAGAGCTACTCGAAGATCCAGTATCATCAGTATCATGAAGAAATTGCCATATGCCATATGCATCCATATGCTATGCTTAATCTTGGATGGCCTACCACAGGAGTTGACATATTTCCACCCATTCATTCGTTGATTCAAACATATCACCCATAAGCCAAAACAACGTTGACTCAAATGAAAAGTAAGTGTCATATTCACATACTTTTCAAAACAGCTGATGTTCCAAGCTAGTGAAATGTCAAATGTTCAACAGAATCTCCCACTACAGTTCCCCAAATGCGCCATCTACCACCCTCTGTTTAAGGTCATCCGAGTTTCTATGTCTCTACGGTTCCACCGGTCAGTGGATTCCTTTCACAGGAACTTTGTTATCTTTATCTTTGTTCAGTTTTTCAAATTCATATTATCATCATGCAATAAATGTGCAATAACTTAACTAACAATGGATTGTTCTGAAGACGACGACGACAACAACAACAACAACAACATCATCATCATCATCATCATCATCATCATCATCATCCCAAATCTAACGGTATTCTGTGAATCGCTTCCTCCAATAGTAATTTCCCCTAAATGCACCCAAAAATGATTCAATCCAATACACAAGTAGGCAATATCAGGTGGTATTTAATTTAATTTCAGGTGGAAGTAAAATCATGTGTCTTAACATTAACATAACTTGGCCCACGTGTACCAACTGGTACTGGATCAGCATTTTTCAAGGCTGAGCGCGTCGCATCAACTGCCGGAAACCACCGCGACATCCTCTGATGCGCTCTGGAGGCCGAGCAGTAAGCGATCCATACCTGCCGACTGAAAGGACGTTCTCAGGCTGGGAAGAAAACCGCCAATGAAGAATCAGAAAAACATTGTGTAATAAAGTAGCTATAGTATCTTAGAAGCAAGAAATGCGGAAATACTGCTTAGATCACGACCCAACCAAAATCACTAATTGCTTAGGATACGGATAATGTCTCAAGATATCCTGTGATAATATTTAGATGAATGCAGCAAAACTGGCCAGGTGACCCGTCCCCAGTCACGCAAAACCGAAGCTGTATTTCCTTCAAGAAGGTTGGATGCTCCAGTGCTCGTCAAGCGCAGATCACAAGACTCTGAAAATAAACCAAATGCTGCCAGTTTAAGTTTACAGGGGTCGTTTAAGATCTACTAAATATCTTTAAATATTATATATATGTATGATTACGGCCGGTAGATCATATCAAGAATTAAGATCGATCAAACATGACAAAATAATCATCAACCATGTCATTTGTGTTCCAAAAGATCATTAAACTCATTAATTACTGAGCTCCCTACGATGCTTCTGACACGCCAACCAGCTGAGGGGAGATCCCTCAGCAGTGTTGCTTCCTGCACTGCATGGTGGCCGTTGTGAATGGGACATGCAACCTGTTGAGAAACAGAAACTGAAAGAACCTCAAGAAAACAGATGTTATTTTTGGGTCACGAATTCCCTGTTCAAACCTTGTGAGTCCACGCCATGATATGGGGGCTTCTTAAGTCATGGGGGATCCCCAAATCCAGCATGGGTTGAGGATGGACCATATGGATTTGTTTGATTTCCCTATTATCAGGGGTTGGTACATGTCCTCATTCATCATCACCCAACTATTGGGGATACATATACTTTTTCAAGTGATGTTCAAACTCCCCCCAAAAGGGACATTTACCCTCCAGTAAATGAAATAGACCCTGCCAAATATACTCGTTGGAAGATTAGTTTCCACCAAACATGGTTTATTTTCACGCTCTATCCTAATTTACCAGCGTACCAACCCTTGATGATTCTCAGCAAATCCATAGATCTCTCAGCGCCTGTGTCCACTGCAGACGCAATCGCAGCGACCACTCGGTCCGGTGCTAGAGGCCTTGAAAAGCCAAGCCGAGTTCCCGGGAAGCAGAAATGCGAACCAAAGGGTAAATGGATACCATCTGGTTATGACTAACATAGCCATGGAAAATCACCATTTTTTAAAGGTAAACAATCTATTTTTATGGGCCATCTACCATGGCTATGTTAAATAACCAGAGGGTATATTCAAAGGAGAATGCTGGAATTGAGTATTGGTACCCATTACATTCAATCATCTCAAATCAATGTATCAGGAATCATGCATAAATGGCGCATGCTGGCATATTCAGGTTCCAATACTTCATGAGAACTTGCTGTGTCGCACAGTGGATGCAACACCTACAACTCACAAATCTTCGGCAAACCCAAGCCATCATTTGAGGCATCTGCAACGGATGCACTCACGGTGGAACCAATAAAGCACCCCTCAAAAAGATAGGAAAGTTAAACATACCAAATAGATCCAAATAGATCTACTTTCTCTCTTTTGTTCCTGTATTTATGCAGTTCGAGTTCCGGTGCAATTTGAAACTCTGTCGCGTTTCTTCACCAACTAATCTTGCTGACCCCGGTTGCATATGAATGGTTTGTGTTTTCTCACTAAAGCCCAATGTAAATGCGCTGATATGCAAAAAACTGGACTGGTCAGCTGCAGGTCAGCTACTCAATTTTTCCAAAGCAGGAACGAACATACAAGGGATAGTCATTTATGGTCAATCAACATTTGAAACCTATCAACCACTCTTAACCATGACCTTTCTTGGTTCTATCATGATCCCCTTCCCGGACTACACACCCAGGTCCTCCCCCTGAGCACTCAAACGTCGGCCGACGAGGTGCTGGGTTCACGGGCGGCCTCTGGCAATTGGCTGTGTCCACACCCCTTAGGTTATTTTAGTTGGTTTAAAATGGTTTCGATTGCCTGACGAACCATATGGATTTGCTTTATTTCCCGATTATATCCTATTATCTCCTGTTATCAGGGGTTGGTAAATGCCGAATTAACCATGACCCAACTATTGGGGAGATAATTTCCAACAGATACTTTTTCAAGGGATGTTCAAAGTCCTCCAAAACGAACATTTACCAAGCCCTGCCATACCCCTTGGGTTTGTCGAAAAATGAGGAATGGGCACCCAATCAGGTGGACTTTAGAGG